ACGGCCTAGCCAAAAGCATGGCCTGGCCTGCGCACAGCCTGTGGTACGGCCTAGCCAAAAGCATGGCCTGGCCTGCGGTACAGTCTGGCCTGTGGCACGGCCTGTGGTACAACACAGCCCACGGCATGTCCTGTCCCGTGGCATGGCCTGCGGCATGGCCTATGGCACGGCCTGGCCTGCCACATGGTCTGCAGTATGGCCCAGCTCATGGCATGGCCTGGCCTGCGGTACAACCCAGGCCATGGCACAGCCTGCGGTATAGCCCAGCCAGTGGCACGGCCTGGCCTTCAGCATAGCCTGGCTCATGGCACAGCCTGCAGTACAGCCCACAGCACAGCCTGGCCTGCGGTACAGCCTGCTGTACAGCCCAGACCATGGCATGGCCTGCAGTACAGCCCAGCCAACGGCATGGCATGGCCTGCAGCACAGCCTGTGGCATGGCCTGGCCCACAGCATAGCCTGGCTCGTGGCACAGCCTGCAGTATGGCCCATGGCATGGCCTGGCCTGTGGTATGGCCCACGTCACAAATCCCCCGGTGTCTGCTGGCTCTGAGGAGGTGTGAGGTTCAGAGAGGAGGAGGGACAGTCCAGTCCAACACTACGTGCAGCAGCACTGACAGTGCTGGCAGTTATTTTATTTGAAGGGAATGCCCTGACAAAGGCAGGAATGATGAATCTGACTCCATGCTCTCAGAAGGCTAATTTATTACTTTATAATACTATATTATATTAAAGAATAGTATAGTATGCTAAAGAATAGAGAAAGGATACTTACAGAATGCTAAAAAGATAATAATGAAAACTTGTGACTCTTTCCAGAGTCTTGACACAGCTTGGCCCTGATTGGCCAAGGAGTCAAAAGAACTCATAGCAGAATCCAATGAAACAATCACCTGTGGGTAAACAATCTCCAAACACATTCCACATGAGCCCAACACAGGAGAAGCAAATGAGATAAGAATTGTTTTCCTTTTCTCTGAGGCTTCTCAGCATCCCAGGAGAAGAATCCTGAGTGAAGGGATTTTTTTCACAGATTGTGGATGCCACAGGCAGTAGGACTGAATCCCTCATGTCCTAATGGCTGGACAGAAGCAGAGAGAGCTAAGTCCTGTTTTGAAGTAGTCACACAAGAGTTACAAAATAAACAGGTCTGGAATGGGAAACTGAAAATCACATGGGGATGAGCAGCAAGATGAACACAGTGTGGGCTACACCTGATGGAAAATGGATCTATGGTATATTCTAAGACTTGTGTGAATCATGGAATCAGAGAATGTCCTGAGCTGCAAGGGACCCACAGGGATCATTGACCCAGCTCCTGGCCTTGTCCAGACTCCCCAGCAATGCTCCCTGGGCATTCCCGGTGTCCAGACCCTCCTGGAGCTCTGGCACCCTCGGGGCTGTGCCCATTCCCTGGCAGTGCCAGCACCTCTGGGGGAAGCAGAACCTTCCCCTGATCTCCAGCCTAAACCTGCTCCTGGCCCAGAGCAGAGCTCAGAGCTGCCCCTACAGCCCCATGGATCTTTGTCCTCAGTCCCTCTGCTGAAGCTGACATAGCCCAGTGCCCTCAGCCACTCCTGAGGTGGCCCCTGCAGGCCCTTCCCCAGCCCGGGCTCTCTCCTTTGGATGCCTTTTATAGCTTTATCTCTTTCCATTATATATATATTTATATTTGTATATTTCTATTAGGAGTTTATTCTGGATTGTAATGGCACAAGAGACACTAAAGCTTTACAAGATAAGCACTGTCGTATATTTTAATAAAACATTTGTGCACAACATCAAGCGAGGGAGAGAACAGTGAAAGGAGAGTTCTATTTCTGCACTTTGCAGCTTCACTTTGTGACTGATATTTACATCAGTAAATCAGTAAATGCTGAAGTTTAAGCATTAAACTGCAAAACCAAGCATAACCCATCTAGAGTTTTTTATGCAACACTCCCTGATTCTGAAATTGAGCTGAGCTCTATCTCACTTATTTTCTCACTCTCTTTTAGTTATAGAATAGGATTCTCTTGAAGCAGGTAGGAAAAACACTAATTTCCTTCTCCTATTAGGTCTATGTTTTCAGAAAAACACTCTCTAATATTTGAAAACACCATCCCTTATGTAGATCTTTATAGACTATGTGAATAATGATAGTCCAACTTCACTTCCAAAGGGAAAAGTTGAGGCTCGAAATTAGGAGTATGGGAAATCTTATTGCTTCTATAAAATTGAGCTTCAGATGTATATATGAGCTGATAATCAAAGACTAGGTGAGTAATCAGAGTTTCTGACCCAATTTCCTTCACGTGAAGGGGGTTGAAGTCACAGGTCTTTCAGCTTTTCACCCTTATTACTCCCAATCCCACAAAAAGCAGCCTCTCACCTTCCCCAGCTGCACTCACCATATGGTGCTTGGGTTGGAAATGTTTTGCCTAATCATCTTGTGGTGCTCTCTTTGCAGTCATTGTGGTGCTGTTTGTGACACTAAGAAGACACAAGAATGAGCCTCTGATCATCAAAGATGATGAAGATGTGAGGGAAAATATCATTCGCTATGATGACGAAGGAGGTGGAGAGGAAGACACAGAAGCCTTTGACATTGCAACTTTGCAAAATCCAGATGGAATTAATGGATTTTTGCCTCGTAAGGATATTAAGCCTGATCTTCAATTTATGCCCAGGCAGGGTCTTGCACCTGTCCCTAATGGTGTTGATGTTGATGAATTTATTAATGTAAGGCTTCATGAAGCTGATAATGATCCCACAGCTCCGCCATATGACTCTATCCAGATTTATGGCTATGAAGGAAAGGGGTCAGCAGCTGGTTCCCTTAGCTCCTTGGAGTCCTCCACATCAGACTCAGACCAGAATTTTGACTACCTCAGTGAATGGGGTCCTCGCTTTAAAAGACTCGGAGAACTTTACTCAGTCGGAGAAAGTGACAAAGAAACTTGACAGTGGATTACAAACTTTTTCCCTGTTGACTTAATGATCATGTAATATTCTAGGGCCACTGCTGTTAGTTAAAACTAATGTGGCTTTTTGTTTTAGAGGCAAGTTTAGCGGCAGTCATCTATAAAATCAACTACATTGTAATGTTGAACCAAAAAAAAAAAGTATATGTTAGGAGGTTAAGTCTTGTGGAGTGTGAAGTAAAGTATGTGGAGTGTCTAGAAGTCTTTGGATATTTGATATTCACTTGACCACTCTGAAGATGGAGATTTGGATCTTTGATTATCTTCAGTGAATTGAAAAGAATAAAAAAGAAATTGGTGCTCTCTTAGGAAACGGACTTGCAGGGATTTGCTGTTGAACAGTAGCTCCTGCCCAGTATGTGTAAAGCTAAAGGTTTGTTTCTGCATTGCCAACAAAGATCCCGCCACAGAAATGTTCAAAGCAATATCTTGGTCTTCTTAGCAATGCTGAGCAGAAATAGCATTGCCAATTCCTACTGGCTCCTACTGTGCAGTGACCATCCATTGTACATACAGTAATTGTTGGCCACGCCACCACAGACTGAATATCATCTTTAAATATTGTGTCAAGCCTTAAAATATTCACATGTTCTTAATCCATTCCAGTGATGGGTAATAAATACTACTAATGTGTAGAGCTTCAGAGGCAGGGCTGCAAAACCTTGCTTCACAAAAGGATCTTTTTTTCTAGAAGAAGGATCAACCCTGTGCTTCGTCTTCTGAAAGAAAAAACTGTGAAATGGGATGGACTTACATAAATGAAAGAATTGCTGATTTTATTGCTAAAGATCGAATTTATTTGTTTAATCTTTGAAATAAATATTTTATTGATGTCCATTACTGCTTTTATTTATTAAGACTGATAATCTATAGAGTAAGATTATGAAGAAAACTAAATTATATCAGTTAGAATTTTTTTTTCTATATATAATGAATGTTTCATACATGTACATTTTGAAAAGAAAAATGACAAATTGTTGCAAGTTAAAGCAGTTCCCTGTCCATTTGCAGTAGCTGAATTTTAAGAGAATGCTGGCAGGAATTAAACATTGCCAGAGAAAACTTTTGACAGTTTTATATCTTCTTCATAAATCTAGTACCTGGTGTTTTTAATACAAGCACAAACAGCTGGAAGTAAACTGGTTCATGTGAATATTTAAACTATAGACTTTTAGAAATCCACACATAACACAGTACAGTAAAAAAAACATGCTTATAGTTCTCCACTGTATTAGAGCAGGAACCAGTGTGTACATAATTTTACTGCTTCTGTTATTAGCATTTTTTTCTATAATATTCATAGTGATGCACCAGGGCTCTTGCACACAGAGAAAGAACACTAGAAGCTGCAAGCATACTCAATTTGTAATGCAAACTTGCCATTTAGAAGTAGCAATTGTATAAGAAAACTACGTATTACATGCAAATCATTTTAATTTTCTACTTTGTTTTGAAGCTATATTATTGTTTGTTTATTTACTCCATGTATTGTATTCAGAGAAACTCCTGTATTGTTTCCTACTTTGTGAAATATATTTTTATAAATACTTTTCTTGTTATTGCTTTTCTTTCAGGTTTACCTGGGCACTGCAGAAATGAATCTGCTGGAATAACTTCATAGTTTTTTTGAGGAATGTAGTTTCTTCAAAATAATTTATTTATTAGTTGAATACAGACAAAATAAAAACCAAAAAAAGAAAAAAAGGAGAATATTTGAAACAATTTTTGACAGTGATTGCAGAATTTTGACAGTGATGAGAGCACAGGAGTTATGAGTGTCTGATTCACTGCACCATGCAGAAAAATAACCTGAAATGATTTTTGTTTAAACATTGCTGGTTAAAACAACCCACTGACTTAAAGTTCCTCAATAACACTTATTCTACAAAGAATTGTTAACACGTCACCCCCCGTTTTGTCTGTATTTCAGATGGTAACACTGACTTTGCTTTAGCTGCAGCACAGCTTGGTTTAATGACTGTAGTCTGTGGGTAACTAATACATTAATACCACTTTGACATATATTATAAAGATTTCATTGAAATTAATTATGTACCCAATACATTTAAGTTACACTGCAATAAAACAAAAATACTTTTGAATAAATGAATCTAAAACTTTTGGCAAAACACTGATCTGAACAGTGAGGGGGTAGGAAAGGATGGTAGGAAAGGAGATATCCTGGAGATTTCAATGAAATCAAATGTATTTCTGTGACTCACTACAAGAAAAACCAAACAGACTCTTACTCATCTTGCTCTGGGTGCCAGGCTGTTCTGAGCTGCCATGGCACATCCAACACCAGCTCAGACAGGAAAGGGGCTGGGAACTGAGCCAGTTTCTGTGTATATCCCAGTGCTGGGAGCCAGGGAAGGTGCTGTCAACGTGGATCATGGCAGTGGCTGGGGCCACCCCAGTGTGCAGGGCAAGGCACTCTGAGAGTGAGAGGCCACACTGGAGAGTTTAGCAGAGCTCTTTTGTAGGAAAACTCACAAATGGAAAACCTTCTGATTGCCTTTCTGATTGAAAGTTCCATCTGAGACCAGGACAGTGCATTCAGTAATAAGATTTCCAGGAAAAAAAATCCCATCACTGGCCCTGTAGGAGAGGCAAAGCATGACAGAAATCTCATCATTGTCAGTCAAAAAGAGATGGGAGTCATTGCTGCTGGGCAGAGTTTGAAATTGGGCATTTCTACAGCTTTTAAACAGGAATAGCTGCAATGCAAAGGAGAGAAAAAGAATTAATGAATTTCTGACCTGTCAATTGAGATGTGCTGTTTCTTGTGCCATTGCCTCCCCACTGAAGGGAAATTATTAATTCTGCAAACTAATTCCATGTAATCTGAATATAAAATTTATACCAATACATGTTAGAGGGTTAAATGTCAATCATTCAGTTTTCCAGTACTTCTCCTTTTTTGACAATTAACTCAGCATAGAATTATTACGGATGACAACAGTATTTAGGGGGATTAGATCACACAGTTCTACATTTCACATCTAGATTTAGACATATTAGCGACACTCTTTTTAAGCATGTAAACGTGTAATTCATCTTTTTCAACAACATTTAATTAGCATCTGACTCATTGAAAATGACAAGGAAAATGCATTAAATTAGAAATATTAATACTGATAAATTTGAGAAGTAAATATTCAAAATATTTTACAAGTGCCAAGTGCCTTAGAGCCCCATCGATCCTGGCCTGCCTTAGCCTGGCTGTGCCTCACATCGTTTGTCACAGCCACTGAAGTAAATCATGGCACCCACGAGAGCTGGAATTCTGTGCACATTGTAAGGACACAAAATTCAGCTCAGGCATTTCAACATGAAAGCACTGTGAAGGGAATGTGTGTACATGTTTATTAAATATAACTCGGATGGCTGGAGGTCCTCAGCGTGTCCTGTCCTTTACAGCAGCTGAAAGCAGAGGCTGTTTGTGTGCTCTGACCTTGAAATCAGATCACAGCAAGCTCATTTAAATACATTTTTTACCTGGTATCATTACACCTTTTTGTCTATGATGACTTTGAAATGACTGTGAAATACAGAGGAGAGAAAATGGCTCAAGACTTTCATTTAAATCAGCAGTTGCTGATCACAGGAGAAACATTTAACACTATGGCAACTCCAAATCCCATCAGCTCTGTGGCAGCACAGCAGTGACAATTCTCAGTCTGGAGAACAGACAGGATGTCTGCAAAACAGTCTGCTTGGAATAACTCTATTTGTACAGCTCTGCTAGAGATGGAGCTGCTGATTTTAATAGAAAGAGAAAAATAAATCAGCTCTACAACATCCATGCAGTTGCATCTACCTACAAATATGTGTGGCCATTTTTTTTAACGGCCTCCATGGTCATGATTCTAGAACTGAAAAATGGATTTAGAAAGCTTCTCCAAGGTCTGTCTAGCAGGAGGAATTTTTGGCAGGTAGCCTTTTCCTGTATCTGGTTTTCTTGGGATATAATTTCAGTCTTATGGAGCTGTTCGGCTGTTTCTTCTCCTCTGCCTGCTCCTCTCTTCACCACATCTATCCTGAACTGGAATACTGGGAGTATAATGTTAGAAAGTTCATTAAGACAATGTAACTCTTTTTCAGCTGGTCAGTATTCAGGAACCAGAAAATGCAGCTCATCCAGGAGAGTGAGATTCACCAAGCTCCCTTCCTCTTGCAGGGAAGACTGAACAGTCTGAGTTACTCATATGAATTTAAATACTCATCCAGTATTTAAATTATGCTGAAAAATCTGAAGCTAATGATGGTGCTTTTTAATTAATAGGAAAATATAAATAATAGAAAAAAATAAATAATGGAAAAAAAATGTTCATTAGTAGCAGACATTCACAAGTGCTTCTGATCAAGAGAAGTGGAAAGTTCATCAAAAGTTCATCAGAACTGCAGTGCCAGGAGCCAGGGAATGGCTCCCAGTGCCAGAGGCCAGGGCTGGGTGGGATCTTGGGAATGAGGAATTGTTCCCTGTGAGGGTGGGCAGACCCTGGTACAGGGTGCCCAGAGCAGCTGGGGCTGCCCCTGGATCCCTGGCAGTGCCCAAGGCCAGGCTGGACACTGGGGCTGGAGCAGCCTGGGACAGTGGGAGGTGTCCCTGCCATGGCTGGGGTGGCACTGGATGAGCTCTAAGCCCTCTTCCAAACTGGGCCATTCTGTGATTCTATGTAAAAAGGTTGCTTGAGAAATTATTTTTCAGATTTGGAAAGCTTTTAGCAGCAGCAGGATGTTCTAGTAAATTGAAGCTTCATAAAAATAAAAATGTAAAAAGTAAAAAGTAAAAAGTGAGAGCATTCACTGTTGCTAGAGTTTGCTTTCAGACCACAGCACGTGTCATTAGCAGAAAATAGAAAGTACTGATGGAGTGAGCAATGAAAGCTTTCTGTGCTCTGTCATTCAGATAAGTTGGACTTGTATTATTTCTACATTTGTATACTATTTGTGCAAGATAATATTCTGGCTTTGCAGAAGGTGGAAACCAATTTAACTTGCTGTATAATTCACAGTGATGGGTTTTGTAATCACACTGCAAAATGAGTCTAGCTGCTGTATTATACAATACTGATACTGGCTTATGTGCTGCAGAACCAGACCCTCTCCAAGTAATGTCACAGTATTCAAAATGAGAAAATATAAAAGTCCTGACAATGCTTTTTGTGCAACTGCAACTAAGACATCTTCCAAAATGGCTAATAAAAGCGAGCTGAAGCTCAGCGTTGCTGGCAGAGCCTTGTAAATGTGCTCATTAGCATTGCAACACAACTACCTCTCCTTTTTTTGTTCTTCCTCCCCCCCCACATTGCAAACATTTAACCACTGAAATCATCAACGTGAAAATCTCAGCCTTCTCTTCAGAGGGGATATGGAATAACTTGCAAAATTCCCTTTTTTCCTCCTGCCTCTGTTTCTGGTGCCAGTTTCAAGGAGGTTTGTGAGACCACAGCCAGAGGGAAGGGATGAGTAGAGGTTGCCTGTTTTATTCCACGATTGGAGAAACATTTCTAGAATGGGGCAGTAGTACCTTGCCCTGATATTTTTCTGGACACTTACAAAATACAAATTAAATCTGACAGCTCAAATTTCTGTACATCACAAACCCCAAGGCCAACCATCTTGTGTAGACTCATGAAATGGGTGGGATTGGAAAGGACCAAATAAATCATCGTTTTCCACCCCCTGCCATGGGCTGGACACCTTCCACTGTCCCAGGGTGCTCTGAGCCCTGTCCAACCTGGCCTTGGACAGAGCCAGGGATGCTCATCCTGTCTAAATACAGACTCATGCCATGGGGCTGAGGAACACAGAGATTTATTCCTTTGCGCCTGTGGAAATGCTGTGATTTGTGAAGTCCAGAAGAAACAGCCAGAAAGGCAGCACTGGTAAATGATGGCTGAATCTGGACTGGGTTCTCATTTTGTATCTTGGCTTTCTGGGTTGGCCAAGCCTAGCCTTGATTTTTTTTTTTACCTTCAAAATATTTAACGGCAAAGAAAGTAATTTCCCTGTCTTTCATAACAGCTTGTTTTTGAATTATAAAACAGGTCTTGTGGTTGGGGGGCCTTTTTGTCATTTCTTCCTTTGTTAGTGTAATGTTCACTGATGGCAACACTGACACAGTTCATTCTGCCAAATTTCACAAGCTGGCAGTTTTACCAATGAATATGAAAACAAAAGATGTGCATTTTTTAAAACTAAAATATTATTTATATGATTGGGAGCAACAAAGCCAATTGAATCACCTTTAAAATAAACTCCATCTCCACATTTCCTGCCACAGATGGGATTGCTTTTGGACTCATTTTCAGATACTGATATATCAGTGCTGGGAGTTTCATATGCAAGGGAATACTCCTTTAGACATTGCTGGGGAATATTTATCATATTTTATAAAAGAATATAATGACTTTAACCCAGGAACACAGAAATGAAATGTTTTACTTAAAATCAAATGAACAAGGAGAATTCAGAGCTGAATTCCAAGAGTCTCAGGTGTGAGACCTGGCAGCTGCTTAGAGTTAGGCTCCAGATGATTTTGG